AAGGGGGTGTGTTTTTTTTTTTTTTTGTCTTTTTTTTGGTCCGTAATAGCATTTTCCCTAGTAAAAACCACCAAAACAACGGCAAAAAAAAGACCCCCCAAAAAACACACACCCAAAAAAAAGCAACCCCGAACTAAGCTTGGTCCAGACGGACGGGTGTTTAGCACAGCCAAGAATCAATAGCGTAAAGACATGTGAGGAGCGTTGCGCGATCCCGTTCAGACACGAATTCTGCGTGCGGAGCATGGAAGTAATTCCTCACAAGCAGGTTTCCAGCATCAGGCCGTCAGCTGGCTTGGGCCAGGTGGCTGGTCGCAGACACAGCCACAAAGGATAGCTCTTGTCGGTGTTCGGCCCAGTCCAGAAGCCATAAGGTGGTGGAGGTCGCCTCCCCCCCAGACCTATGGGCGTCATCTGCCCTGTGCTGCTAAGCTTGTGCTTGAGGTGAAAAACCGGAAGGACTGTGAGTTCGAGAAAAAGTTCCCGTATGCCACAGACTACAAGGCCAGGACAAGGGTACGACACTCTATTCTAGTAGAGTCTTAGTCTGAGTCCAAGCAGGTGCCTTTGGAGCTGGCAGCCATTCGAGGATATGTGGCATGGCTGAGTGTTTTTTTTTTTCCGTTTCCGGGACTTCGCCAGAAGTGTAAATGGGCAACCCCGAGAAAGGGGAGGCACGCCTACCGACGATGTGACGCCCACCATGAGCATCAGTGTCCCAACCCGCAGACCACGCCGCCTGCATAATAACTCAGTCCGGTTTTTTTTGCAGGCTTTGCGCGTCACTGCTCTTCTATTTCTGAAACAAGAGCTATCCCCCACCTGGGGCTGGGGTCGCGGCATCAGCATTGGCTGAAGCTAGTGCTGCAGACCGGCGAATTGAAAAGGCGTTGCTGATTTCAGTGCAGGCAGTGTTGCAGCTTCAAAAAGCTTTCCCCGCGTGCCCCGCCCCCTGCTGCCTGCAATCCAACGGGCCAACCCCATCAGGTTCGTTCCGCCCCGGAACAAAAGAGGATAAAGAAGTCGTTCTTACTAGGCACTCAGCTTTTGCGCCTCCGTGTCCAGAGTGTTCTTGAAGTCGCTGTAGCTTCATGAATTGGAAAAAGCAACAACTCAAATGTGTGCGAGAGGCTTGAATCTTGAATTTCCATGATACTCCAGTAACACAACCAATACCCCTCATGTCAAGCGAGGTGGGCAGGGCAGTGGGGCTGCTTCGAACACTTTCAACAAGCCTCAACAGAAACTAGACTGGACTCGGCCAAGGATGGCCAAGGTTTCACACCTCAAAAAAGTCTTAAACACCACAGTGGTACGCGGGGCTGTGGCTGCGCTCGGACTCCCGATGTAGGCGGCGAGGTGGTGGGAGAGTTTGGTGGCTGCAAAGAGACTAGGACAGCCCCACTGCGGCATCCGCCGCAGACAGCAGGGGTCCGGGGATTCGTTCCGTCGATGCAGGCTGCCCTACAAGTACCCCTTGAAGGAGTAAGCTCGCTGCTAGTCATGTAGCAGCACCACGCACGGACTGCTTCAGAAGCTTTGGCAAACATGCTCAGAACCAGATAAGCATCCGAGGTGATTGGCTTGCAGAAATCGACGCCCTCAGAGTTGCCAACATCATCGCTGCTGGCATGGAGCCCAGAACCGAAGACGCAACTGCTCATGCTGAACTCCGAGCGATCTTACAGGCATTGAACTTGAGCCAACACGTTGGTCGAAGACGTCCTGGAGAATTAGGTGCCTTCTGTGATTTGGCCTATGTGATTGTGTGCGAGGCTGTAACAGACCTGGTGACAGGTCCAGGTGGTCATGTGATCTGGCGAAGGCCAAGACTACCTATCCGGGACTGGAGCGTGCTCATCTTGGCTGGGCGGGGCTGTCTGGTGACACCCCACTACCTGCACCGCGTGGAATGTCATTGACTGATGTGCTGCTTCAAGGTGCAAAAAAAGCAGCATGGAGATGTAGTAGCCCTTCTTTCAGATGACGGGCGAGAAGTGGAGATTTTGGAGATTTTGATGCAGGCACTTCTCGCCCACTGGCTTGCGTTCATGACTGCAGCATCGGAAAAGGTCTACACGCCGCCTTCAACCAGCGACCCCTTCTCCAACTTTAAGCTGCCGGTGATGGCTTGTGCAGTGGTGCTTCTGCTAGGCCGCCTGGGGGGGGCTCGCGTCTCATGCAAAACGGCAAACGGCAAGCCTGCGTCTGTTTGAAGGCTATCAGTTCATGAAACAAAAGGGCAAAGGAGGCCACGCTGGAAGCATCCGCTTTAAAATTTTTCTCTTGTGAAGCCGCAGTTCGCAAGTCGCTCACGCGAGGCTCAGGCTCTGGCCTTCCCGGCCTTGGTGGGGGACGTGGAAAGTTTGGAAAGAGCGACTTTGCAAGCAGGGCCCTCGGCTTGCCCTCGGCTTCATTGGCCTTTCAGCTCGCTCTTTGGCTCGCTTGAGCCCGCTCGGCAGGTCTGCTCAACAAGAAGAAGATGGGGGGCTTGAAGGGCAAGAGGCTGGACCTGGAATGGCTGGAAGCGGGTACCACAACCCACAAGACGTAAACTGTCAATCACCCCGGGGCACGGGGCAAAAAGTCACCTGGTGGGAGTTGCTCACGCACCTTGGCGCAGGGAAGTCCTAGCTGTGCAAAGCCGCAAAGCTGCAAAGCCCGGAGGCCTTGATGAGGCGGCGGAGTTCTGAGCCAGGCTGGTGATGGCTGGTGCTGCGTCTGTGCACAGCACGATCACTTCGCAGTGCCACTGCCGCTGCAGTCACCGCCACATGTGCGAAGCAGCAAAATGCTTCATCAACTCCCTTCCTACGAGAGATTGCAACAAGCATGCTCGTGCTTTGTTCTTACGGCAATTATGATACAGCAGGGAAGGTCGCGCTAGATAGGAATTCGACGGAGCAGTTGCAAAGAAGACAACTTGCATTCCAGGCGAAGGTTGGCTTACCAGCTGATGCATTCCGGGCCAGCGACGGCTTTCAGCAAAGGCTTTGCCAGGTGTAAGACAGTTGGACGCGAATGACAAAAGTGGCCAGCTTGTTTGCTTCGTTGCTTCGTGAAGGATGGGCATGATATTTTGCTTTTCAGTGCAACCTGTTGCTCTTGACTGGCTGCTTGACATTGCACGATGGGTGTGCAGGGTTATGTGCTTGCGGTTGATTAACCCTCCTATCACGTCTCGGCCACGGCTGTAGAGTGTCTCCTCGAGCATTGAGCAAAAGATGCCTGTGTTTGCATGGAGGACACGGGGAAGGCAGACGATTTCTTAGGCTACATCGATATGCCTTTTGAGAAGATTTACCCACAAGGCGCCTGTGCCCTGTGCAGTCATGTGAGAAGATGTGACGATGCGAGAAATGTAGTTTCATGAAGGGCAGTCATGCCCCCGACTTCTGGAGGCTTCGAGGGGGAGTTAGCCCTCAAGGATGCGAGCGACTCCGCAAAGAAGCAGGAAGCATACATCAAGGCCGGCTAGGGGAGTAGCAGAGCGTCTGTGCCCTGCGGCCGTAGGCCTAAGCTAGAGCCGCGGAATGTTGGGCCAGAAAGCACCTGTCAATGACAAGCCGAGGTTCGTGTGAGACATCTGAGAGCTATCCCGCCTGGGGAGAAGTAAATCTCAAGGGGCTTCAAGCCATATAGTTGTGTTCTCACATCAGTCCACCCTTTCAGGCCATGTCAGGAGTTAGCGATAGTTGAAAACGCCCAGCTGCTACCGATTGCAGATGGATGGACATGGAGACACTTTCACCCGTTTCGCCTTCAAAAGTGCCTGATTTTCAAGCACAGCACAGCGTGCGCGTTTCCAGCCGAGTCATGCGATGCTGGGTACAGCCTTCGAGAGCCTGCGATGGCTCTTGGCCATTGAACAGCAAGGCGTTGATGACCTTGCTGAGTTTTTGTTTCTAGGTGGGCAAATATTCAAATCTTCGATTGTCTCGGTACAGCTTGTGCCTGCGCCAGCATCTCATTCGGAGCAGACTTTGGGAGTCTGATCGTTTGTCAGTTGGTGGGCGATGACGAGGGGCAGTGTTTCAGCTCGTCACGTGACGCCAACGGTTTGCTACCATGACGACTGGCTCAAGAAATCATCCTGTTACGCATGTGGGGTCGTTGTTTTTCTTCCCTGACTCTGACGGCAGAATCGTCAATGACACCACAGTTTCAGCTGACTCCTGAGATTGTTGGGGTGTCGTGCCAGACATCGCCAGCGTGGACATGTCGAAGCGTGCTGAGGGACACCACGACATCCCACAGAAAGCTCAAACCGCATCATGCAGGGCTAAAGCGGTTGGGTGAGTGTCCCTTTGTTTTTAAAATTAGGTTACTCTATGCAGCGAAGACTGCAGGATGCAGGTCGATGCTTCATGCTCGGGCACTACAACATACAGAAAGGCGCAACCCATACATATCCATACATCGATCACCTGCATCCTCTTCTGCTGGCGACAAGCATTGTAGTGTCACCCGTGGCCTAAGAACTGGATCCAAGATGGCGCTTGCGACGCTAGACTGCCAAACTGCTAAGGCTCTTAAGCCTTAAGCGCGACATAGCTCTTGGGCGAATGTTTTCGGCGCAGCAGACTAAATGAAGGGTGTTGCCTTAAAGGGCAACTTCCTGCCGCGAGGAGCCTTGAGGCTTCATGAAGTATCCGTAACCTCAGGTACCTTCGATTTGTCGAGGCACCGGAAAAGAGAGCACCATCTTGCCATGTCGGTTTGAGTTTGTGTTGACTTCTTCCCGGCCGTGTAAGTAATCTCATGCGTGCAGGCGAGTGGGGCGGCATGGGTGCATGAATCTGGCCATCCTTTGTCCCAGCACGGGCTGTTATATTTTGTGGCATTTGTGGCTCATTGGGCAGAGTTCATGCCTGCTTGGCGGGGTTTCTCAGCTTCTTCGGCAAGAATTGGTTGTGCTTTTGTAGAGCCCCACTTCCAGCCCGTAGCACATGCTGCTAGCGAGCGTCCGCCATGGCCAAGGGCCGCGGCAGAGGCAGAGGTCGCGGAGGTCGCGGTAAGAAGAAAGGCAAAGGCAAAGGCAAGGGCGGAAAAGGCGGAAAGAGTGGCGCAAAGGGAGGAAAGAAAAAGGATCAAGCTCAGAAGTGCCTTGGTCGCATTCGCTGATCTGTTTGCAGTGCTGCGGACTGATTCTGGCCTCAGGAGTGCCAAGAAGCGAGATCAAGAATTGAAGCGTGCAGCTGAGCATGTTGGCTCCTTTGCTGCAGCGGACGTGGGGCGTTGTAACTTGCATCATCAGAGTGGAGCAAAGAGTGCATTCCTTCACTCGAACCTCGTGCAAACACTCCGGCTGCCTCCGAATCCAAGCAATCAGAGTAAATCTTTTTCAGGCCTTCACGGCTCGTTTCTTCGGAGGCTTGAGTTGTTGTTTCGCGTGCCCGAACAAGGCCATCAAGCAGGGGTGAACAATCGACTCGGGCCCCGACCACCCCCCTACGCCCCGGAGAACAGAACAGAACAGTCAGTCAGAGTTGGCCTTCTTTCCCGAGCAGGATCGACAATTGGACCCGGGCCCCTTCGACAACAGATCTCAGATACATGTAGAGAGATCGTCGCTCAGACACTCTCCATCGGTATTGTGGCTGTGGGGTTCGGGACCTGTTCAAGGAGAACTAGGAGAGTAGCACGCGACATGCAACTTCCCAAAAAGGTTAAGGAAGATTGAAACGTCCTGCTTCAATATATCTCAGAGCGCAAAATAGAAGCTGGTTAAAGCCAGCACTCACTATGTTAGGTTCACCCCACTTTGGGAGGAAGGGGGCTTGCGCGTGAACTCGCCACGAGAAGGCCAACAGGGCAAAGGCAGAGGGTGCCTCACCGGTCGATGTTGGCTCAAATTGGCGACCTTTGACCTTACCAAGCCCAGCAGGCGTGCAAAGCTGACGAAGAAGAGTAGTTTTTGGGACCTGGGTAAGCTGGTCAAATTTCGGCGAATCCCGAAGCCTTCCAAGCCTGCCTACCCAACAACTCAAACTGGCTCAAATCCGAGGGGAGACCTCCCGTCGACAGCGGCAGCGGCTGAGCGATGGCTTCATCCCGTTGCTCTGCTGCATTCGAAGATCTGGCGTCGGCGGTGATGGGTCTTCGGTTGTCAGGAACGCACGGACGGTAACTGACAGCGAAGGCGGGATGAGCAATCGATTTATGTCCGCAACCTGCCCGAGACCTTGCAGTCGAAGCAGCTCGTCTCAATGTCGGGTCTCAGAGAACGGCAACCTCAGCGTTCAGTTCCGCATTCGTCGCCGCAGAGCCAGGCATGAGTTGAAGGAGGCGCTCCGGAAGTTTGGTGAAGTTTCTTGACTTTGTTTGGACGATTCATGGTACCAGCAGCGGCGGGCAAAGCAAAGGTCACGCACGTCCACCTCGAGCATCGCTTGAAATTTGGATTTGCTCGCTTCGGGACGAAAGAAGGCGGGGAAGGGAGGGACTCGGGCTGACTCGGGACTCGAACTCCGACTCAACGCTCCTGGGGGCAGCTGGCAGGTGCAGATGCTGCGATGCATGCCGGGAAAGTCCTGGTCTTGGACAAAGAGATTGAGATATGCTCTGCTCAGAAGGCTTGGGAAGCCTTGGGATGCTCTTGGTCACAGCCAAGACTGCACTCCTGGAGGAGCAGCGATATCAGAAAGACCCCCTGACCGAAGATGAAAACGAAACTGAGGCCGAGGCCAGCTCAGAGGCAGTTCGCTTCAAGAGAGGCTACTCGAAAGGCACCTAAAGATGCGAGGACAACGCTGCAAGCCATGCGGCAAGCGATGCCGCGGAAGACGCGGCGGCAGACGCCCCGGAGATGGTGTCTGTGGCTGCAGAGAGCCGGAGTATTTCGTCAAACCACAGCATGTCGTGGAAGGGCGGGTGGGGCAGTAACCAGTTGTAGGCCCTACCGGCCCTGGTCTTGGCCACCCACAGGACGGGATGGATTACCGGCGAGACTTGGAATCTGGTTCGGAGGCCTTCGGGATAAGAAGCCGAACCATTGCCACAGATTTGTTGGCGATGCCGGTTGCATGGTGTGACGGAGATCCATGTCCATGTTCTTGTGCTTCGTGTCTTTCTTGCTTGTTTGACAGTGTCCCACTGGTTACAGCAGCATGTTTCTTGTCTGCGGAGAGGCTTCAATGGCCAGGGAAGAGTCTTGGGCGCGCCAGGACATGTATCCCTTAGAAAGGAAACTAGAGACTGACCTGCTGCCACCAGTGCAGATCACAGTTCGAAGGACATGTCAGAACCAGAGGCAGAGGTGGGGGTGTCCGGGCAATGTCGGCATCGCCGTGCTGCCAACTGTGAGTATCTGGTCGTTCATGTGTTGATAGCAGAGCAATGGTCTTTCTTCTGATCAGGAAGCCGAGCTCGCTGAAAGAAACCGGGTACTGGGCATACTCGAGGCTGCTTCGGGCCATTGCGGAAGAGAAAGTGGGTGAGTTGATGGGCATGCTTAGCCAAATGGCCATAGGCCTCCCACTGAAGCCTCACTCTGTGCTGTGGGCGTAGTGGTCCTGCTTCCAGGCCATTCGCTTTTCCACCGCAGAGGTGTTTTGGCTGCAGCGTTGCACAGCGTGCTGGGCCTGTCGGAGGTAATGCAGCTCGTGCCATGTCCCAGGTGCTGCGCAAAGCCAACAGCAAGCTGGCCCTGTCCGAGCTGGAATCTTGCTCAGACATCACCCAGCTCAAAGAGGCCCCTTCTGATGTTTGCCAACCCCAGAATTGAGATCCAACAGCCGTCAGGAGCTGCCAGGCAAGAGCGCCCTAGTGCAAATCCTTCGGGCGCTTGGGAGCAGCCTCTAGGATCCAACTATGAGTGCCTTCGCACTCGGTTTCTGAAGAGAGATGACAGATCGTTAGTGGGCTTGTCTTACCGTCTCAGGTTTCAAAGTCAAAGACAGGGGCGACGGCGTCTTCATGGTGTCCCTGACGAAGATCGCCAGGGCCCCAGCCCAGGCGAGTAAAAGGCAGTAACTTGAACCAGGGGGTGTTAGTAAACTGTGTTTCACGAGTTGCGGAAACCGGGCCCGTTCTGTAACCGGAACCGGATGGGAGCTGTAGCCGGAACCATGGGTCTCGTAACGGAAGCTGCCCTTCAACACCGGCCTTGCTTCTGAAAATGTACTTCAGGGCTGTGGGTTTAGGGTGATGATATGAGTAAAAAATTAAAACCACAGTTGAGTATTTTGTCTAAGGCTAAGGGTTTAGGGTTTAGGGGTGGGGGATTTAGGATTTTGGGGGTTTAAGGTTTTATGTTTTGAGATCTAGGGGTGAAGTGTTGTAGGGTTTAGGCTTCAATGTTTGGGCTTCTATAGTGTTTATAAGGGCTAACGGCTAAGTGATTCTAAACGGCTTTCATGTTCATAAAGCGCTGATAAAGGGCTTCTGAGGGTGTCCCATTATAAGGGCTTGTAAAGGATTTATAGGGCTCATCAAGGGGGTGCCCTTGGACTACTCGAGTTTCATGAGGATTAAGGGCTTTGAAGGGCTTCTGATGGCTTACATTGGCTTGTGTCAAGGGCTTGTTCCAGGCTTTGAAAGGCCTTTGTATAACCGAATCCTCTGCCTTCGCAGCACTGCCGTGCCCTGCCGTGAGGACAAGGCACCACTCCGCGCCAAGGCCACGTGTGACGCGGGCGGGCCGATGCCGATCCCCTGCAAGCGCTCCGCTGCGCCGCGCAGGTGGCAGATGCCTTTCTTGCTTCGGATGGCAGCGGCAGGGTCTTGTGCTTAACGCTTCTGAATTGGCGTCGTTGCCTGTGTCGTATCACCAAGGCGCCCGCCTCCAAATCTCGTCGCAATGCCCGCAAGCCTGTGAGCAGCTCATGCCATCTTATGCCGTGTCAGTGTAGGTTGCCTATAGGCTCCGGAACTGCCAGGAAGCAATGCGAGTGACTGCCTCGGGAGTCTTGTGGGTGCTGGCCTTCTGAGGCGAAAGGCAAGGGGAAGGGCGGCAAGTCAAAGGGGAAAGCGAAGGGCAAACATGGTAAAGGAGAAGGGGCAGGAACGAAACTGCTTGCGCAACTTGTCTGGAATTCAGATTGGTTGACTACTGCCTTTGTAACGACCAGGAAAAAAGCTGAAAAAGAAGCCGATTGTCGTCAATTCCAAGCGAAAGCGAGAGGAATCCCCTGAGTCCGAGGCCCATGAGGTGCGGCTTTGCGCATTCTGCAATCCAGTAAGAGGGATAGGCAGTTGGATGCTAGGTAGTTGGAGGATGTCGCTGGTGGTTGGGGGCAGACTCGCCGGCTCGCTGGAAGGTGCGGTCCAATCCTCGTGGTGGTGATGCAGCCGCTTCGCCCACTCCGCCAGCATCACCTCGCAGGCTTGCAGTATTTAAGACAGAAAGCCCACCGTGTGCTGTGGCATGTTTTGCCAATGCGAAATTCAGGAGGCCACAGTCACCCCCGGCTCTTTCTTACAGGATCGACCCCCCAGTGCCATCACCCCCACCAGTACCGACGCCCGCACCACCGCGGCCACCGCCTGTGCCCTTGCCTCCACCTGCGCCCTTGCCCTTGCCCCCACCAGCAAAGGCCACAAGCCCTCCACCAACACAACCTGCACCCCGTGCACCCCTGCCTCCACCGCCACCTGCAGCGCCAGAGCCTCTGCCCAATCCTGCACCCCTGCCACGGCCTGCACTCCCCGTGCCTCGGCCACCGCTCCCAGCCCCGGCCCCCCCGGCTCCTCCCCCGGCACTTTCACTTCCAATGACCCCTGCCCCAACAAGCTCTACACCAGCCGCCCAACCACCTCCACCGCCACAACTCTCTGGGGAACCCGCCACAGCGATCGGAACGTCTGAAACCTCACGGCCCAAGCACAAAGCATCAGCTTCAGCTCAAGCGCCAAACGTGTCATCTCATGTTCCGACAGCGTGGCTTCCACCAGCGGCTGTCCAGCCGATGCAGTCAGCAAGGACACCTGGAACCGTGCCGCCACGTTCACTGCCAGAACCTGCAGTGCCACCACCCCGGGCAGAGGTAACTGCCATGCCATCCCCAAGAGCTGCAGCTGCAGAACTTCGCATGCCTCCATTCGTGCTTCCACAGCCACCACCAGCGGGGCCTGCAGCGGTTGCCCCTCGTGCGACATTTCAGCCGCACCAGCCACCACCTGCACCACCACCTCCACCAGCAGCAGCACCTGCAGTGTGCCATTCAGGGCAGCGGCCGCCACCTCCTCCAGCGGCTCTTCTGCCTGGAGCTGCTCCTGCAGCGAGAGCTCCACTCCCGCCTCCGGCACCTGTACCTCCAAGTCCCAGCCCTCCACCTCCAATACTCCCACAAGGGTACGGCCCGTCAGTGCGCTCCGTCCCAGAACCTCCACCCCCACCGCCACCACCGCCCGCACCCCCACGACAATCCTTGCAACCCCCCTCAATCAGCTCTGAGCCACCAACCGAGGGCAGCTTGGCAAGAAGTCCACTGCGTCTGCGTGCCACTTTTGTCAATGGCAAGTCTCCTAGTCAGGTGCCGCCCCGAAGCGAAGGCCGCCACGGCCATCTGTGGCTCCGCACCTGCGCTGAAGTGCAGCTGGTGCCTCGGACCGCAGGGAGCCTGACAGCTCGCAGTTGGGACACTTTCAGCAACCTTGCTGGAAGGCAGTGGCCCTATCCGGCATTCTCACTCCTTCGAGACCAGGGAGGACGGATACGAAGTAGAGCAGCTGGCCCGAATCATTGGGTGAGCTTAGAACGGCAGTGCTGTCCACGTTGAGGACGCGCACCATAGCTCAGCTGTTCAAGGACCGCTCGGACCTTGGCAACGTGCTCAGCGCGGGTGCAACATGGTGCAACGTGGCAGGATTGACAGAGGTAAGGTAGCAGTAGGAAACTTTTGGATCTTCGATGTTGGCCACGAAGCCTGATCGGGTGGGGAAGAGCTTCTAGTTTCCAAACGAAAAGATGGGATGGGGTTCGAGCAAGGCAATCAGGCACACATCAGCCGGCACCAGTACTCTCGTGAAAGCGACCGTACAGCGAAAAGGTGGCAGACCTTCGCTCTGCGACGTGCGTGAGACCTGCCATAGTAGTGCAAAGGTAAAGCTGCTCCTCTGCCTTCTTCCGGGTGCACGGACTGCAGTGCCAGTCATTTGGCAAGATCCCTGGAACAGATTTCCAGTCAATCCGAGACTCGGACGGACGTTACATGCTCGACTGCACAGAGGCGTGGTGATGCATCGTTGAAGCGGAGAAAGCTAAGCTGCATTTGCTAGCAGATGTGAGCTCAGCGCATAGGCCTTTGGAATCGCATGGCTTGCCTGCGTTGTGGCTGCGGGTCCAGCGGAGAGATTTGGAGAGCATGGCGCTTACGAAAGGACCAATATGCAGCGCAGCCCTGCAGTGAGCATTCTTGCTGTCATTCGTTGACGGACATAGACATGGCCGAAGAGAGTGTAACCTCAGCAGCATCCAAACAACCTGGAGGCACTGGCTGGATCCAACAGCATACTGACTCTACTATCGACCTGCTGGTCATAATTTCCCTTCCCTAAACCCTTGCCTGCATTGCCGATTAGCCTATAATGAGTGCCAGCGATGGAACATGTCGGAGGGGAAGCCAAGTGCCCGACTCCCAGCTGGTCTGATGCAGGCGATAGAGGCTGAAGGTTTCAGGCATTTCTCTGCGTCAGTGGATGTGGTGTCTTTGAGACCTGTCTCGGACTGGGCTCTGCAGGAGCTGCCTGATGCCCACCTCCTAAAGCGCTTTGACGTGGCCCGCTTCACAGCAGGGATACAGCATGAGCCCTTGGTTCTTTGAGGGAGCTGTCGGTACCCTACCCGGTGGCCTCCCTGCTGCTATAGAGGTCTTGAGTTTTTAGTTCGGCTGGGATGCGCAGTCAGGGGAGTGTATCCCGTATGTCCAGACGTCCAAACGTTGTAGTTCCAGGTCCGGCTGCTCGGCAAAGGCGCCTATGGCATCGCTGGGTGCTCAGGAAGACCAGGTCGGGAGACATGGCAAGGCTCCTCAACTTGAGCATCTCACAGAGTGTCAGATGTCACAGCTCAGAGCTCTGAAGGTCTGGAAAGTGAAAGAGAAAGAGACCGGCAGGCCAGTCTTGGCCAGCCTTGACTTCTGCACTTCGGTGTCTCCCTTCGCCCAGCCGAGGATCTTTGCGTTGAAGAAATGCTTCGATGCCTTTCAAAATTCCACAGATGCTCAGCGCACCTTCCGAGAGATCATCTTCCTCCAGGCACGTGCGCAGTGCCTCCGCGACCCTCCGCGAGACCGTCGAGTCGCTTCAACAAAGGAGTTGAACGGTCACGAGAACATTGTCCGGCTGATGCACGTGCTGCTCCAAGCCCCGCAACCTTAGCCACGTATCGCTCTGGCATTCGATAGCAGGTGCTGTCATTCAAGCAGCGGAGTTCCGACACGACTTTGCCATGCACGAACCTTCCAGTATCACAGGCTGTTGTAGACATGTATAGAAAAATGGCTACGGTTACGGCTCAAGCATTTGGCTTTCAGCTCCACCCCTCCCTGTGCTCTTTCTTGCACCTCTTCGTCATGACCTGGGTCTACAACTTCGGCTCTGGGAATGCGGACGGCCGAGCCGAGATGAAGAACCTCCTGGGCGGCAAGGGTGCCAACCTTGCAGAGATGGCCTCGATCGGGCTTCCTGTTCCGCCTGGCTTCACCTTGACAACGGAGATCTGCACATATTACTACCAGAACGACTGCCAGTATCCTGCTGACCTCAAGGAGCAGGTGACCAAGGCCTTGGCTCTGGTTGAAACAAGGACCGGGCGCAAGTTCGGAGATGCCACGAATCCCTTGCTTGTTTCGGTGCGCTCCGGCGCGCGGGCCTCCATGCCTGGGATGATGGACACTGTTCTGAACTTGGGCCTGAATGACGTGACGGCGGAGGCGCTTGCCAAGCAGT